TCATCTCTACAATAAATAAAAAAATCAGCCGGGCGTGGTAGCGCATGCCTGTAATTCCGGCTACTCGGAAGGCTGAGGCGGAAGGATCGCCGGAGCCCAGCAGGTCGAGGCTGCGGTGGCCAGGAGCGGCCACTGCACTCCGGTCTGGGCGACAGAGTGAGACTCCAACTCAAAAAAAAAAAAAATTGAGGAAGGAAATCTCAGGATGAGATTTTACAAATGTTACGAAAAAATTTACTGATAATAGCAAGAGCTGTAAACCTGGTTAGTCAGCTGCAAAACAAAAAAGAAACAAAAAGCAGTTAACCTTTTGCTGCTGGTTCTGAGGTAAACAAAAGCAGTCAACCAGTGCTGTTACTTAATCCTGTCTTAAAGAAACAAAACACCATAACAATCACTTCACAAACCTCTGGCAATTTCCTTTTGCAAACTTCCCCTGTGGTCAATTTCCCAGGACAGCACTGAACTCCATTACAGTCTTTTTTTTTTTTTTTGAGTTGGAATCTTACTCTGTCACCCAGACTGGAGTGCAGACACCGCAGCCCCTACCTGCTGGGCTCCGGCGATCCTTCTGCCTCAGCCTTCCAAGTAGCTGGAACTATGGTAGTGAGCGCCATTACAGTCTTATAAATACTTCTGTGTAGCTCCTGTCTCTTGGCAGAGACAGACACTCTGCTGCTTGGCCTGTTGTGCTCTTCACAATGTATCTTCCCCTTAATCAATCTACCTTCTTTTCTTTTTTTGAGTTGGAGTCTCACTTTTGCCCAGGCTGGAGTGCAAAAAGACATGGAGATTCATCCATGTCTTTTTGTATAACAGCAATTCTTTTTTATTGCCATATAGTATTCTAATGTATGAATATATCACAATTAATCATTCTGCTGCTGACGGACAGTTGTTTGTTTCTAGATTCGGGGTACTAGGAATCAGGTTGATATGAGCATATTGTCCTGGTAGCTCATGGCTACCACAGCCTCGACTTGCTGGACTCAGGAGATCCTTCCGCCTCAGCCTTCCAAGTAGCTGGAACTAGAGGCGCACACCACCACGCCAGGCTAATTTTTTTTTTTTTGAGTTGGAGTCTCACTCTGTCACCCAGGCTGGAGTGCAGTGGCATGCTCACGGCCACCGCAGCCTCAACCTGCTGGACTCAGGTGATCCTTTCGCCTCAGCCTTCCAAATGGCTGGAACTACAGGCACGTGCCACCATACCTGGCTACTTTTTTTGATTTATTGTAGAGATGAGGTCTCACCAAGTTGCCCAAGCTGGTCTCGAACCCGTGGGCTCAGACAATTCTCTCACCTCGGCTTCCCAATGTGCTGGGATTATAGGTGTGAGTCATTGCGCCTGGCCGGGCCAGGCTAATTTTTTGATTTGGTGTAGAGATGAGGTCTCGCCAAGTTGTCCAGGCTGATCTCAAACCCCTGGGCTCAGGCAATCCTCTCACCTTGGCCTCCCAAAGTGCTGGGATTATAGGCATGAGCCATCATGCTCAACCCTTTCTTACTTCGTAACTTGTCTTGGTAAATTCTTGTCAACCCATGACTCTGGCCATACCTAGCCCTCTGCCACATAGCAACTTTGGGCACCGAAAAGTTCCCTATTGCCCAGTGCCAGTCAGTTCCCCCCAAGCCCAGAGGTACCCACTGTTTTAGCGAATCTCACCACAGTGTTTTGCCGGTTCTTGAACTTCATATAACAGAATCTCATAGTGCGTGCTTTTGTGTGGCCGACTTCTTCCACTCAACATTATGTCTGGAAGACTCATTCATGTCTTTTTGTATAACAGCAATTCTTTTTTATTGCCGTATAGTATTCTAATGTATGAATATATCACAATTTACTTAATCATTCTGCTGCTGATGGACAGTTGCTTTTCAGATTTGGGGTACTAGGAATCAGGCTGATATGGGCATATTGTCCTGGTCATTTTGTGAACTTCAGCATCCATTTCTCTGGGGTGTATACACAGTAGTGGAAGTGTGAGGCCATGCTTGGTTGGTGTGTTTTACTTTTTTTTTTTTGAGTCAGTCTCACTCCGTCGCCCAGGCTGCAGTGCATTGGAATGTTCACGGCCACCGCAGCCTCGACCTGCTGGGCTAAGGCGATCCTTCCACCTCAGCCTTCCAAGTAGCTGGAATTATAGGCATGTGCCACCACGCTCAGCTAATTTTTTTATTTGTTGTGGAGATGAGGTCTCACCAAATTGCCCAGGCTAGTCTCGAACCTGTGGGCTCAGGCAGTCCTTTCACCTCAGCCTCCCAAAGTGCTGGGATTATAGGC